ATTAATTTTTACAAATGTATTGTTTTAATTTATACAATAAAAATTGGAATTTCTATAGTAAACTATTTTACATATCCAGGTTTAAATCAAAAACAAAAAGTGTTAAAGCAATGTAAAGCAATAACGATTAGTGTGACCATGCGATGCAGAAAGCAATTAAAACGAAGCAAATTACGCAGCCCCTATTAATTTGATTATTTTTCTGTTCTCTTTTTCTGCCTGGTTTTCATATAACCTTGCTACCCCTTATGAAGACAAAACAAGAGGACCAAAAAAATGCGAGGAACAGGACGAGAAATGGGACAAATGGTCGTTGGGGGAGGATGTGCAATGGCAGTGTAATGTCAAGTGTGCGGAAGCATAAAACAAACTCCTAACGGGTTAGCTAGCAACTCTTTTTTCACTTTCTCTCTCTTTCTCCTTTCGACTGTGTGCGTTCTGGTGTATGTGTGTGTGTATTTGTATTTGTCTATGTCAAGTGTCAACATTTACTTCGTGACAACACAAATTGTGGCTGTGGCCATTTTAGCACCCGCAACAACTGCTCGTGTGAGTGTGAGTAGAAAAGCCACAAGTGCTGTCCCTTCTTGGGATCGTAGCCCGCCTGTTTTTCCTAAAATTTGTTGCCATGTGTAGCTTGTGCTGGAGATTTTTCATTTTAGATGCGGTCGCTAACTTGCCACGCACTCGTAACCGTCTGTCTCCCTTACTCTATATCCGCTCTCCCGTTCACTTTGTGCATTGCAAATGAAGCCACAATAATAAAAACCCCAGACTCTCATGTAAGTACACAGAGAAAATGCGTATCCAGATAATTATTTAACACTTTATCATTTTTGACTAGCCTAATTCATTTAATTTTGAACTCAAGAGTAAAACATTTTTGGTGAACTCAAGAAGCTGTAATTATTAATTTAAAATTGCAATAATATTTTGCAAATAATATTATAATAACCAAATATTGATAACAAAATGTTATTTTAATTTTTATATACTTCGTTTAGTTAGTTACGTTAGTTCATCAATTTCTTTCACTGTGCAGCACGCACACCATAGTGTGTTTGTGGCTTTGCCAGACTGCAACAACCTACAAATTATAGTTATACCCGTTACTCGTAGAGTAAAAGGGTATATTAGATTCGTGCAAAAGTATGTAACAGCTAGAAGGAAGCGTTTCCGACCCCATAAAGTATATATATTCTTAATCAGGATCACTAGCCGAGTCGATCTAGCCATGTCCGTCTGTCCGTCTGTCTGTCCGTCTGTCTGTCTGTCTGTCTGTCTGTATGAACGCTGAGATCTCGGAAACTATAAAAGCTAGAAGATTGACATTTTGCATGCAGATTATAGGAGTTCCTACGCAGCGCAAGTTTGTTCCAAAAGGGTGCCACGCCCCCTCTAACGCCCACAATCGCTTGTATACGATTTTAAAAATTTCAATATTTTGGAAAAGTAAAAATGCAGTTTTATTGTGTTTATCAATACCTATCGAAATGTAGAAATTTTTTAAATCGGACCATTCGTTAAAAAGTTACGGCGGATCAAAGTTTTTCTCCATCTCCTTCGCACTCCCTTTAGCTGAGTAACGGGTATCTGATAGTCGGGGCACCCGACTATAGCGTTCTCTCTTGTTTTAAGCTGGCATTCCCCTCCGGGCTGTAGTTTGTTCTTCCAGTCGGAGCCGCAGTTGTACTTGTAGTAGCTGCTCTTATCTTCGGTGCTAACATTCTGAATGGTTTTGCGGGTTAGTTGGCACGGCTTAATCCTCCGCCCGCCCTTAGCCCCTTAGCCCACTTGTGCCCTCCTGAAGTCATCTCTGTCGCATCGTAATTTCTAATTTGTTTGTATTATTGCCACAGTTCTCGGCGACTTTCTTGCCTTTTGAGTTTGTCTCTATTACGGATGGCATTTGTGACGGCTAAATTGAATAATGCTGCTTAGGTGCGACGTGTGAAGTTGGCATCCATTTACAATTGAGTTAGCTTGACATTTCGTTGGAGTTGTATGAATTTTCAAATGTGGTTTGGGTGGTGTCATATTGCTTGACAAATTATTTTTTGTAAATTCCTCATTTAACTTTTGGCTTATCTTTGCCTCTCTGTTCTCTTTTGTATTTCATGTATAACACTTTATTTTATTCAGCTATAAATACAAAATATTTGTAAAAATAAATAAAGGGATCTTTATTATTGTAAATAGAACTTCTATCTAACACTCTCAGTAAATGGTTTCGAATGATACTTATATAAGAATGTATTTGCGAAAGCTTTTTGTATCAAAATATCCCTTTTCCTCGAAAGCTGTTCGAAGTTATTCTTATATTCAGTATAAAATAAAATGTCTTTCCGAATATAAGTTTTCAATTATTTTATAGATCAAAGTATAATATTTTACTCGAAAACTTTATGTGTTTTCAATAATAGAGAAATTACATTTTTTATTTCTCGAAAACTGCTATAAAGTGAAATATATTATAGCAATATAGATGTTAAAATTTATAGGTATAACCACATAAATTTTTAGCTCTGAAAGAGCAATAAAGCTCTTCGAAAGGTTCTTCTACATTTTGCAAAGAAAATTTCTGGGAAAAAGCTTTTATGGAACAACTGAATCCTTCGTTCAGTCTCGGCATTAAAAGCTTTTTGGAGAGTTTCGCGCCATTTCCCCACGATTTACCATTGTTCATAGAAATGCTGCAACGATGTTTCATATAAACCATGCAAGAATTTTTCACTCACTCTTTAAAAATCCAGGAAAAACTAAAATATACAAAGGAGTGCAAGCAATGTGATTATTTTTTAGAAGGAAAAAAAACGCAATCCTACAAATGGATCTTTATTTTCATTCATATTTTCTTTAAAAACCCCCCGAAAAAAGTCTTAAAAGTTTTTTAGAAATATTGTTTTTTAAGTTAACCACACGTTTGGGCCACAAAGGGTATCATTCAGTTAGTGAAACTCAGATCTTCAGCATCTGTTCACTTGAATAACTCGGCCGGCCGAGTTTTGTGTGCAATTTTCATTGACTTTGTTTTGGCATTGCCAGAAAACCTTTATACATTATAAAGCAGTTTGGTCTGCCAGTTTGTAGAGTCCAGTCAAAGTTTAATTGTTGAGGTTTCTGTTTGCGTCTGACATTTGTGTTTTTGGCCCTCGCCCGCTCAGAAACTTCACTTGCATATATATGAGAATTTTTATGAGCCACTCATTAAGTATTTGGCGCAAAAGTTTTAGTTTTATTTCTATATTACCCAGTTTTTCACTGCGAATTCTCTTTTTTTTTGCCGGCGGTGTGTGGTCAGCCAAAGTAAGTCTCAAGTGCAGTTGACTTTTAATTGGGGTCGAAATCAGTGGCGATGGCGTAATTATGCAATGGAATGTGCGGCAGGGAGATTACCATTTTTTTCCGCCGGTTCATGCAGATTTTTAGTATGCGCAATTTAGAGTAACTGCCGAGATGTCAAAGCTTAAGGCCGGCTTATCTGGCTGTTATATATAAAAGTGACTCGGATGTCCGCCGCAAGCGGTTGCAATTTATAAAAACTTATCGATGTCATCAATCACCTCAACGCACATGCTCTTTACCTCGAGCTAAACTGCAGACTCTGGTCTAGATAAATAACTTTATTAAGTGCTGCAAGTCTTCATGTCAGAGTTCCAAACTTGGAGGGAAAAGTGCCCTGGAGGAGGGAAAAATGCAATTGCTTTGGCACGGGGAATGCGGGCCACAAATTGAAATTGAACTTGAATCGAGAGGCAAGAGCTTTGTGCTCGATATTAATCAAAGTTGATTGCCTGTTAATATGGCGAAGCAATTGGATGGCAATCTCAACTAAAAGTTCTATCCAAGTGCATCAAATTAATTCGGCAGTTGGGTGGAGTTGAGAGCATCCTTTTTTTGGTAGTCTTTAAAAACCTTAAAATACGATGAACGTTATAATAATAGTACTGAATAATTCGCGGTTTAATGTGCTGTGAAAATTTACTATAATGAGTACGTTATGTTAAGTTAAATTGCCTAAAATGAAGAAAGGAAATTGGGCTGCAATCGCCTATTAAAACATCCATCATTGCCTCAATATTAGTTTCCAAACCGCTGAGCATCTGGTATTTCTCCAGCAAGTTTCGCAATGCAAACTTCTGTTTTCTAATAAACTTGAAAAATACAAATTAACTAAACGCCCCAAGATTCACCCCAGAGATGCTGCTTCATAATTAAAAAGCTCTCTGGCTGCCATGGAGGAGAGTCTATTCCCGTGGGTTAGCCCTCAACAACTTTAACTCGGAAGAAAGTAGGTGAAAGTACTATTTAAACCAGCCTTGCTGAAATGCTCAAGAAGAGAAGGGGTTGCAAAAAAAATGTTCCACTCGGCGGGAAAAAACTCTTTGCGCAAGTTAAATATGAACAGAAAAAGAGGAAAAGGCGAAGAAAAAAATAAAATACAGAAATATGAGTGCGGCAACTTTTAACCCTTTATTCAAAGGAGTTGCCTATCTCTTGGACTTTTTTTTGCCTTGCACCCTCACTAAAGGCACTTCTAAATTTGGGAAACATTTCCAAGGGGGTGACTATTTTGGGCTTCCTTATTTATACATATCTCATCTAAAGTTGGTTCTTATTTTCGTAGAGTAATTCGCTATCGTTGTTTATTAATATATTTTTCCTCCCTTTTCTTTTTCATTCATGAAGCGCAGCGCGTTGAAAGTTCGAAATTAGCATTCAGATTTGCCCATTACGTGTTCTATATATACACTTCGCCAAAATTCAAATAAGAGATTTTTCGTGCACTAAAAGATTCGAATAGAAAAATTCTTTTGTTACGAATAAAATTATAAATATTCATATATTGCTGATATTTTTTGTTAAATAAATTCCTATAAACGATTCTTAGGCTTTTGAATTATTTTTCAAGTGCAATTTAGTTAAGTCTGCAGAAGTTTTCAGGGACTGGTCAAGTTTTCGTTTTCATCAAGCATAAAATAACACGGACTGGCACTTACCAATTAACAAAAGTTTCCAAATATGCATTTGAATGTCGAATGCGGCTGAGTCCATTCAAATTAGAAGCAGACGATTTAAAAGCCCCGCCACTCGCCAACGTGCTTTCTCCCCCTCTCTTTCGCTCAGTCTCAGTCCGATTCGCTCGCTTGGCGGACTGTACTTTGTCCGTATCCTTGATTTTCCACAGGATCTTAGGCTCGGAAAGGCTGTCGATGGATGCGCTCAGCAGTTGGGATTTGTTGTCGCCACGGCGTGGGTAGCAGCATCTTGTCCAAAACTTTTTGATTTTAATTGTTGCATTCGCCTGGACTACTTTCCTTGCTTTTCCTGCCTTCTCTTCTTTTTCGAATAACAGAGGCAATTAAACTTTCGGTTCGTTGGTCGGGGCTGGCAATCGTGCAGTAAATGACTGACCCCGTTCGAATTTATCCCGTCTGTGTCCTTTGGTTATCGCCGTCGTATCTCTCCCTGTCACTTCTCCACTTCCTGTTGGCTAGTTGCAATTTTATGCAATTTTCTGGGGCAATTTTAGGACTCAGTCTCCGTTGTTCTTGCCCTGCTTTTTTGGACCGGACTTTAAGCTATTTTTACTGCCGGTTTTGTATTCGCTTTTGGGGAATTGGACAGTTTTAACTGGATTTGTCAATTATTGCGATTTTGTGCTCCCCATTCAGTCCAACTTAAGTTGTTGCTGGCTCTGCAAAAGAAGAAAAGGGAAAAACATGAAGATTATATTTGCTTATTTAAGTACCGAAGAGCAAGAATGGAAAATTTAAAATTAATCGGATATTTTTTTTTTCTGAAACGGCATTAATATCAGCGTCTCTTGTTCAAACTGGAATCCATTTGAATTTTATGTACAAATATGTTTTCTCTTTGGTCGCATATTTTTATTAAAACTATGTGGCTTAATAAGATCACAAAAAATTCTACGAAATTGCTATATTAACTTGCTGGTATTTACATTCTACGCCAGTGTCAAAGATTAATTATAAGCCTAGTCAAAGGCGAGCATCGCACAAATTATTGGCATAATAAATATTGAACAGAAGAAAATAATAACATGCCAGCGCAGACACGATGCGCGACAAACTGAAATATTAAGTGCGATTAAAAATGCAATAAATGCAAGCACATGAAAGCGAAATCGAATAATTGTGTGACACATTTTTTCCATCCCATATTTAAAATGTGGTGTGCATATTTGCGAAGCAAACAGGCAAAAGAGCAAATGAGTTAAACAGTAGCCATTCCATAATTAATATATTAAATAAAGCTGGCAAATTTGCTCCCAGCTCAGGGAAGTCAGACCAATAAAAAATGAGAGCTTATTTTGCATTTACTGTTGTCATTTTGGCTTCGTTTACTCGCCATAAAGGTGTCATAAACTCGAGGAAACAACTTTATCGACCCGAAAATGTGGCCCTAAATTTTGACTGCCAGATGATCTGTTATTATCGCCACTTCATTAATATTATACACATTTTTATAGGTATTTTATTGTCAGTTTTTGTGTAAGATTTTGTAAGATTTCACATAATGTAGATTTACATTTTTTTTTAAATAAACTAAACTAAAACATTTGTTATACCGAAACAAAAACCTTTCTATGCATCTACGCATTTACGCCCTTTTCTCGTCCTTTCCTTAAATTTAAAGTACGGTTTAAACAATGAAATGGTATTAAAAATCGGAGTGTAAACCTTCCCTTAAATTTAAGAGACGGACGAGAAAACGGCCCCTGACGTATTATTATCTTCCCTTAAATTCAACAGTTTTACGACATCCCTTCTGAAATGGAAATTACTCATTAATATTTGAAACTTGGATTATCAGGAAGGCATCGGTAATACAAGGGGGTTTTGAAGAGTTTTTCAGAAACTTTGTCACATTGCATTTGAGTTCTAGTCTAGTCTCGTCTCGTTTTTTCGCGGGCTGACTCCTTTGTGCCATGAATTACTTTTCTTGACGTTTTGTTTTCTAACAACCGCAAAAGACAATAAAACTGCCTGTGTGTGTTTCGCACAGCTTCCATGTGTGGAAGGAATCATACACATTCAGACGCACAGAGAACGACTGCTATTTAATTTATGAAGTAGAGCGCGTAAAAATTGTGCATTGTGGCGTTTTCACAATGAGCAGAGTGCGAAGGGGAATGGATAAAGCAGGGACTTATCTTGCACTCCATGCACGCTCTCTTTTTTCCCCATTTCCCATCTTTTTTTTGTGAGCTTGGCACAACAAAAGACAGTTTAGAAATCACTGAAGGGTCGGAGACCGACATTGTCATTATGTTTTGGAAGAGATGCAAATGCTCCCAGTTATTATGCCAAGTGTTTGTCGCTTTAAGAGGGTTTCATTTCTGACTAAGCTACACGAAAAGCAAGTAAAAAGTTGATCAATAAAATCATTACTTGGTCAGTCAATGAAATCGAAATAAATAATTTAAATACAAATAATTTAGAGATCTCTTGTTGGTTACAAATTTTTTGGTTTTACAAAACCAAAACTATATTAGGCTTAAATCTAATTATGATTTTATTGAAACATTTCTTATCATATCAATTATCAAATGAGGCTCAAAATAAGTAAAAGTTATAAACATTATTTTAGCTCTCTAGATTTGTCTTTTTTTTTGTGGGTAATTTACTAGTCTGTCTGCACAAACTAAACTCTTTAGCCAAATTTATTCACCAATCACATGGACCATTTATCAAATACCTACTTTTCCCATCCTTTCGAATTAGACGCGAAAACTTTTCTTCCCACACACACCCAAACACTTTCGGGGAAAACTTTGATCGAACTGGTAGCAATTTAACACCATTTTATGCAGACATGCGGTGGGTAAAAGTTAATCTCCTGCTATAAATCACAAGTTATTAATGCTCAACATGTTCGCTGTAGTGCTCAATTTCCCAGAGGAAGCTGCTGCATCACCGTGATTATCATCAACTGTGACCTTATTGGCGTCTCATTATCATAGGATCTATTTAGTTACCTAATTAGTGGCAAACTCTATTTGGCCAGAGTTTCAGCAACTATCTGAAGTTGAGAAAATGCTGCCTGCAGCAATGAAAACAGTTTTTGTTTATAATAGCACAAATATTAAGAGAATTAGATGTTTGAAGCCTTCTGGCTAAGCGCCATAAAACTCTTATTTTTCGGAAATCTTTATTTAATTTAAATTAATTTCTCCTTTATAGCTTTTATATATTTCAGTTTAAAAATCCTAAAAGTCTTAACCACTTGATTTAATTTAAATATTTTAAACATGCCAGCATAAATGTTCAACTTAAAACTTATTTGAAAGTTTTTCGTCAAATAAAAATTCGTAATATTCACTAGGTTCCTAAAACTAAGTATCAATCGTTTTCCTCACTTTATAACTGCCAAAATAAAGCGTTAGCAATCAGCTTATCCCAAAGCTTTTCTATTGAGCTCATCAACAGTTGGAAATCAATGCCATGAGTCCACGATTCACTCCTCTCGAATGGTGAGTGTCTCAAATTTTCACATGAAACGAAGTAAACTTGCACTTCATTCGGACAATTGACATGCCCACTGACACGTGTAAGCCATGGCACGCGCTTTTAGCATTCCACGTTTCATCTCCATACAGTACGGTTCTTATATATATGTATATGGGATGTGGATCGACAAGAGTTGAGTAAAAAAGCAGACTAGACGGATGATGAGGAGCAGCATCTCATGTTTCTGCGAAAGACATGACGATGTCATTGTCATTGGCCATCCAGGCTAAAACTCCAGCGTCACGTCACGTCAACGAAACCAGTGCCAAACCCAAACTCAAACCCAAACCAAACCAAAACCCAAATGCGACTACAGATTAAAGCGTGGGAGGGGTTTGGATGAAGGGGGCGTGCCAGCAGATAGGGGGCGTGGCACTGGCTCTAGACAGATTCGAGGAACAAGAGGACAAAGCATGAGTTATGGGCTAGATATGACGACTATGCTCAACAATTTCTCTCCATGATTCTTTACGATTGTGGTGCCGGTTGGCGTGGGTGGTTAGGGTGGTTGGTATCCAAATGGTTGGTACTGCGGTGCCTGCGGAGCAATGCAATAGTCACTGTCTGTTCAGCACATGGCAAACATTTTTTACGAGCGACATGTTTGGTTAAGGCATATGCGTCTAATGCATGTTAAAATTTTTTTTTTAATAATATTAATATTAGTATACAATGAATAAGCATGAAATCTATCGTAATTTAATTTTGACATTAATTAAATAAACATTGACATTAAGTCTTTATTTTGTATTATAAACATTAAATAAAAATATCTTTCGTATTTTAATTTAACTTAAATTAAAATATTCATATTGAATATTTTTTTCATTGACAATTTTCCCTGTCAGTCGGCTAAGCCGAACCCATTTTTAGCTGCAGCTTCGCAGACAGCTGCTGTTGATTTCTTTGTGGCATGTGCTTAATCCAATTTCCAATGCAATTGTCGCTACTGAGATATGCCGAAATTGAGGGGGTGATGCAACTCACGAAGTCCCCTTCTCCCGGCACCCAAAAACCAACAAAATCCCGTCCTCATGCATGGGGGAGGGACTCCATTGTGGTTTGACAGTGTCGGGGAAAAGTTTTTATGTTTTCGCCATTTCCCCGGAGAACGCCCCAACTATTTTCTAGCCAGAGCCAAGCGGGCGGAGCGGAGTTACAACTACATAGATGATGGACAACCATTCGACTGTGCTCACTGCGGTTGTCCCCGTAATTGTCGAGAAATGTCCACCCGATGCCCCGACGTTGCACATCGATGGGCACAAGTCCGCGGGATAATTATGACCATAGAGGGAAATGCCGGAAAGCAAATGACAGGTGCGGATTGTGATTACGAATGGGTGAGCAGAGTGAGTGAAAGCAGTGGAAACTCGATTTTTTCCCGGGTAAAAACACATCGAATTAAACAAATCTTCAACGCACATAGCGGTCAATTTTTGTCGAAGAATTTTAGACGCCATGCCATTGGTTGTGTTTCATTCGCCTTTGCACTCTCTGTTTATTGGAGGTTACACTGCAAAAAATATTGTGGCTTAAATCTGTTAAAAATTAAAGCTTAATTTGATTGCTGAACTTTTAGAAGTAGGGTTGGCAAAACAATCGATATCACTATCGATACTATCGATAGCACTATATATACTATCAATGGTTTATGGCTCCCCACTTTTATAGCATGTTTTTCCGGATGAACTAGTGTACGTAATATTATCCGTTATTTAAATTAGATTTGTGGCAAATAGGGTTTTGATTGATAAAACTTTAACGCAATATTTTAATTAATCGATTTCGTAATGTGTCAAATGTCGATGTCAAATTGGCGTTAAAGTGAAAGGCAGCAAAAAAATGCTTTATTGTTGTCAAAGGAAGTGTGACATCACACATTTTAACAAGTAATTGGCCACAGTATTGTGATTTATTTGGTATGCATTATTTATTTGCCACAAATTGACAAAAGAAAATAATTGTTTACAGTTTATTTTAAACATTTTTGTATACAGCCAAGGTTTAAAAGGAATTAAATTACATAAAACGTAATTTCGATGTTAAATGGACATTACAATTTTTTCCAAGTGTAAGAGCACGACGATCTAAGCGTTGAGCGTGGTCTAGCAATTTGAGAGCTCAATCATGTTGCAGCAGCTGTTTGTGCGAGTGGCCAAAA